TTACGCAATTACTGATGCAAAGTTGGTATCCCATACTTAGACAATACGTGCATGAATCTAATCAAAAGAGACTTCATTGGAACCGAAAATGGAAAATACAAGAAATTGTATTTTATGTATTTTGAAAAGTTTGCAAAATTAACCTTTTTCAAGCTTAATTTGATAGCATCGTGGAATTTCTGAGGTAAACTTTCAAGAATAACAATTCTCTGTTCTGCAGTGCCACGTCTTCTTGAATACTCGACAATTCTTGACTCTACTTTCAATGATTCCTGAATTTTTTGCAGATGGAAGTCCATTCTAGGCAATTGCTCAATAATCGACATTGGTTCAACAAATTGGGCGTTGAGATGAATAATATGGGATTCAACAATTGTTGTAATGTGATCATATATAGCATGCGGACGTCTTACATCAACGTTTGCTTCAGCATACGCTTTCCGCATTGTCTAAATTTAAATAATTTCTATTTTTGTTCGATTTTACTAAATAATTTAAAGTTTTTAAAACATCTTGCAAAAGTATACTTACAAGTATCATAAAGTATCTGTTTATTATATTTTATTATTTTTATAAATAAAATCAATAATTCTCAAATGAAATATAGCAAACCTTTGTGGCCATGAAAGTATTCATCAACTCGTTGACCATTTCAGCTTTTTCGAGATCAACTGTACTGACGGCTTGCATCTTCTTGCATACATTTTTCTTCAATGATAATACAGTGATGATTCTTTTATCACATAATATAATTATTAGCAACATAATATGAAGAGCCATTAACAAAAATTTAAAAATTTGAATGAAATTAAAAGGCAACAAAAATTAATCCACTGAAAGCAAAATTTCAAAAGTCTTCAATGATGCAACTTTTCAAGAAAATTCAAATGGTTGCTCTTACTGTCTTAATTACAGTCGAGTATTTTTCACTATTATAACAGTCACTAATGATTAATCAAATTCTTAGAACTGACAGTCTTGATCTATTTATTTTTCATTAATAGATACACATGAGGGTTGCTACAAATGTTGAAAATTACTGAAATTTGAAATTGATAAAGTATATGAATTCATAATAAACTAGCGTCTAGCCTGTTGCGAAAAGCTGTCTTCATAACAGATATGTTGCGATTTAGTTTAAATATTTAATATAGCGAAATATCATTCATCAATTACCAAAAATCTCTTGAAGTCAACTCAAAATTCAGCAATTAAAAAAAAATAATTGAATTTTTCGGACTGCAATTGTAAATTACTGTTAAAAAATGAGATTCTGGCTAAAAGTAAGATTCCATTAACCTTTTCTTCGCATAAACAGATCACTTCGAGCGTAACATGTTGAGATGGCTTTTCTAGCACAACCGTTCTTACGGCATTTTCTGTATATTGACTCTCATGTAAAACACGTTGTTCTTCGATGAGCACAATATTATTTGGTTGCATTATTTCTTCAGTCTTTGTATGTTTTGACTCACGACCAAATATGACAACATTTTGATCAAATGGTTGCAGTATGTGGGCATCATGCGTGAATTGTTCTGGTGCTTTTTCCACGTTAACGTTGAGAGTAGTATGTACTTCTACTTCTTCTTTCATTTCTTCCATCAATTTTTGCATCTTTTCATGTGTTATTATGACAGAATCATCACAGATTTTACTTGTTGATGCAAAACATGAGTAACCCAATGCAATTGTTTCAGGTTGAATGGCGGCAAAATGGTGCCTATACGATTCTGCAGTGTGCGTAACGTGAACGTTATAAAATACCTCAGCTTCACCTTTACTTTTAATATCTGATAAGTAGTAAATTGAAGGAGGATGAGATAATTTGTGTGTGGATTCAGATGGTTCTGAAAAGTACAAATAAGAAATGCAAATTTTTGCAAATATCAATATTATATGTTCGTTCCGTAGTGTAAACTACTTAACCTTTTCATTCATTCAATTTGACTATCTTATGTTTTGCAGTGCTTTTCAAATTTTTTCTGATTCGTAGAAGAAAATAGAGCGCGAATAATATTTGGCAGATAAATGCTCTCTGAAATCAAATTCTGTTCTGATTTTAACAAAGTTCAAATATTCGAACTAACCACTTTTAGCGTCAGTTACGCGTAAGTTACATGACAAAACAGCTTTTCCTTGATCATTTTCTGCATGACAGTAATAAACACCTTCATTTATCTTCTCTACATTCTTGATTGTTAGTGTTGCTAGTCCGTTCACGAATTTCACTTCAATTTGCCTGAAAAAAAAACTGCCAAAAAATGAAATACGAACACTTTTGTTATCAAACAAAAGTCAACTTTGATCTCAAAATTCAAACTGGACCGTACATATTTCAAGTTGAATTCAGTTTCAGTGTATCAGAAAACTTCCCACAATTTTTAATTCTAATAAATCTTAAAAAAGATACCAAATGGTCTGAGAGCCTCCATTTTAAACTAGAAACAAATTAAAAACAAACAAACAAATTACTCGGATTGTTCAAGTTTTTGTTCACCGAAGTACCATTCGACATTCGGTAAAGGATATCCACCGATATTTGTGCGTAAGTTAATAGTATCACCGACATCAACTGTATAACGTTCAATGTTAGTTTCAAATCTGCAAAAATAGTTGCAGTTATTATTAACTGTCATTTTCAT